CATGCATGCATAATAGCTCATAAATTCGGGTAAGAATAGAAAAACGGATAAGTAGTGTCATTCATGGCCGCGTTGGAGAAACACCTTAACTTTGCTGAATGATTCTGGTGTATTTTGTGCACGATGGATAGATATTAGCGTCATTGCGCAAAAAGTTGATGCGATTGATTCGGGCTTCCAAATTTATGCAAAATATTTCGTTCTCGAACAGATTTTTGATATCTCGACATCTCCTCTGAAGAAGCCAAGAGTTTTTGCTGAATACTCTTTCTCTAAGCTGAGCAAAAATGCTATAGAATAAATTTTGTCAGAACTATTGAAACGTATAGTAGCTACCTACACATAAGACTATGATAATTTTTGATTCATTTTCACACTATTATCGCTCTGATTTACTTATGAATTGATGACTTGACTTTTCTAATGGATTGGTGTTTTGCTTTTGATTTGTATGTGCGCGAAAGTTCACATACAATGACCATACATAAAGTTTATCAATACCTTTGACTAGCTATGCTAATCATTTTGCCTACAAGGCGTATGTATGCAAAGATTCGACTACTTACAAATGGCGGAACAAACGGACAATGTAACTACCAAAAAATGCTTTTTACCATGACCGGTAAAAGTAGTGTCCCATATTAGTACTGGGCGGAGACAAATCAAAGGCTCTTGGAGCGCTTAGCCAAACGAGGCTCAATTGTTGTAGCGGCCTGCTCCGAAGTGTGTTGTTCCTGAGAACCCGAGATATCCTTTGCCTCTAGCGTTTCTTGTACTTTGTAAGCAGTCAATTCAACATCACTGCAACTTCGCTGGAATAGTAGTTCGAGATCGAAAAGCAGTCCACACCATTTGCGAATACGTTCGGGAAGCATATGACTGAAGCGGAAGAAAATAACCTCTAAAACATAGTCTGCATACTGCCCAATCTTGGTTGCTAGTCTCGGTAAAGTCGTATTACCTGTAATTAGCGTTATCACACCAATGAGCATTAACATCAATAAATTTTTGAATAAGCCTTTGTAATGGGCGAATGTTAATATGGTTCCACTGCTGTGG